GGTCCAAAAAACGGAAGGAACTTTTGCACCGGACTAATATTTTGACTGGTGAGCTTATTGCTTGCAAAACGCCTACAAAAGTGTTTGTAATGCAAGTAACGGCTTGTTTTTAGCGTATCGAGGCTATGATCGGCATTAATTCTATCGAGAATAGCTTCAAGGTTTATAAGTGATTTCTATGGTAAATAGACTTTTCTTCCTCGGAGTAGTTTTATCAGAGGATAGCGGGATGCTTTGCATATAAAAATGACCTAAGTTTGGAAAGGGTTGAGAGATCTGTGTGTAAGATTAAATTTCATTTCGAGTGCGATGCCCCAGATGGAGTTTTAAGAAAACTCTGTTCAGGAGGTGTGGGTATGGATATGGTATCCAACGTCATTATCAGCGAAGAAATCGCCTATGGATGCTCCGGAATTGCTACGGCAATGCTAGCGAATGGTCTGGCCGAAACACCACTGATTGCTTGCGGTAGCGAAGAGATCCAAAAGAAATTTCTCCCCAGAATGGTCGAGGAGCCATTGATGGCCGTAAGTCCTTCCAAATTTGTGTGGAGCTCCAGATCAACTTGGTGATCAGGCGTACTGTGTTACGGAATCAATCGCTGGTTCTGATGTCGCTGGAACTAAGACAAGGTGTGAGAAGAAAGGTGACGAATATATTATAAATGGATCAAAAATGTGGATTACTAATGCCGGACATGCTAACTGGTAAGTGGAAACTTGTGGCAAAAGAGGGGGAAGAAATCCTGCGATATTTCGTATCTGAGAGTAGAAGATAGTGGTTTTCTAACTGCATGTGGAGAACTTGAATCGCTATTTAGCGATAATTTGTTTTATCACTTGGATCACAGGTGGTGCTTCTCAAATGCCACGGGTGGATGGCACAAGAAAATGGTTGACTTTTGCAGTCTGCTCTCTGAATCGCTATCACAGGAATGCGGAACCACATTCATTCTTAGTTACTCAGATTTTTCAATAATTGTGCTGCGTTTTGGGAAGCTTTTCAAACGAGCGCTCGTGCGAACCCAAAGGCGGCCTTCTGAAATAAGGGACTGCGGGAAAATAATCATGTTAGGCAGAATACAAAAGTGCCAGAAAATCTAGGAAAGAAACTGTAGAAGCTTTCAATCATTCTATATTAATTTTGTAAATA